CCCCCCCCCCGCCGCCCCCTTTTTATGGGCCCCCCTGCCATTACCCGGGTTACCGAGGACCCCCTTCTCCTGTACACACACACGCGGCTCCGCACGCTTAGGTGTGATGGTGACCGTCCGGATAGGTTGTCTCCGCTGGCAAAAGTATGATCATCGGCTGATTATTGAAATTGATGGACAAAACGATAGACAAAGAAGGCATAAGGAGTTTGGTGCGACTCTATTGGTTGAAAAGGGTAGTTCTCATTGGAAAATGATGGACTGACGAAAGGGTCTCTTGTGCAGGGCCGGATTTACCTACATGTCGCCCATGGGCCGCCTGTATTTTGCCGCCCCCTTCTTATTCGTTTTGAAACATCAATAAAAACCATCAAGTGAACGTGCCGGAGGGGGAGGGGCGCATAAGACACGTTTACTCGTGTTGGATACATTTTTTGCGGAAGCCCCATCAACACCACCAGCAAAATTTTACGGAACTTTGCGCGAAAGTTAAGTTCCGTAAACCTATCTCTGTGTGAACAAGGCCTTCCATTTATAAGAAATGAACGAAACAATTATGAAAGAACAAACAATAATGTGGTTTAATAATTTTAATGTCCGTCGCCGCGCCGCGTTGACCGCACTGTGTTTGACGCATTGCGTGAAGTATTCGTGAAGTCTTGTAGGCGCTATGCGTTTCGTGCTGACCGCATTGTGTTAGACGTAATGCGTGAAGTATTCATGCAGTCTTGCAGGCGCTAATATGTGTTACATGCCGACCGCCGCGCCGAGGGCCTCTCCTTTACATCTCAAGTCCTCGTGGTCATCGTGCCTCTCTGCAGGCCAAATCGTGTTTGGTTTCTCTCTTAACTTGACTAATTAAAGGTGCAGTTTCTTGTATCACCGAAAGACGACAAAATTAGCAATTACTATACTCTCACGAAAAAGAGATTTTGTCACCTTTTTCTTTGGTAATTTTTTTTCTAAATCCGATTTTTTTTATACCTGCATTTAAAAAAATTGCAAAATTCGCCGCCATGGGCCGCGGCCCATGTGACCACCCTCTTAATCCGGCCCTGCTCTTGTGGGATGCCGTTAGTTAGTCTAGTGCCTCGTACCTTCCTCCTTTGTCCATCGCAACCACCCGCTTAATCAATAGGATCCTTCCATATCCTTTTTGTCATCTTTCTCTATAGCTTTGTCTATCAATTTCAACAATCAGGCTTCTGTCGGGTATTCCTGAGGGAAAAGGGGGTGCCTATGGGGGAGGAGCACTTTTACAGCGCGGTTACTTGAGTGAGTTGAGTGGATTCAACCAGAATCACCCCAACTGCAATGGAGCTCTTCCATGTGTTTTGCGATTCAAGTACTTTTTCTGGCGTAAAATTTCGAGAGAAACACGGTGATGCTACTGGTTTTAACGGAAACCAACTCCGAACCTCAATAAAAGCCCTCAAAGTTGAGGAAGTAATGGAAGGGATACCATGAGAGTCCTTTTTTTTAATTCATTTAAGTAAACCGTAACTACTGATATGCCTTGCATTTATCTGCATGATTTAAATAAACTATATCAATTTCATCGAGTATACAAATTAACGTTAGATAATAAAATCAGAGTCCACCTCTATATCAAGACAAACTCTCTACATATGCAAAGATAGAGAGCAAATACATTAACAGGGTTGCCCCTTTGTCGGAGGACTCTAAAACTGAAAACACGGCAAACCTGCTGAGTATTTGCTCCCGATCTTTACATAGAGAGTTTGACTTGATAAAGAGGTGGACTCTCAAAGTATTATGGGATATCCCCCTCCATTACGGCCTAACTCTGAGAGCTTTTTTGAGCCTCATAGTTCAGTGTTTAGGTCTGTTCCAAAGGCAAGTGCTACTGATCTGAGCGCACTTGCCATTTTTACCAGGGCGAGAAGAAAAATGTTCCGCCTACAGAAAATGTACCACCGTAGCTCTTACTTAATTGTGTTTGAATAAACCACTTTATCACATACTATCCACAGGAGTCACAGATCGTACGATAAACGCTACCAGTCAATTTGCCAACGTTAGTGCGCTGCGCATTCAATTTCGTCTGATACCGTGCAATACTTCCGAGGTGGAATAGTTGCTCAGAGCGCCTTCACGCATATCGCCTCGACTTGATGGCAGAAGATCACGACTGCCGCCGACATTACACCCCAGAACGTGTGGATTTACACATTTTCTCATCATCGACGGAGAGATGAAATACATCCATACCTCAATTTGCAACTTTTTCACTGCCTATTTTGAACACGTAGAAGAACACGAACACTTAAAATCTGCGTAATTTTTCCGAGGTATGACAAAAAACATTATTTGAATGTGCTGCTAGCGAGCTGATAATAAGAGTGATTGTTGAATTTGAATTTTTGATTTCAGTCTAATGTCTAAAGTCTATGCTTTAATTAAAAAGGGGGAAAAGAAGTATAGGAACCCTGGAACAAACAAAACCAGACCCGAAATTTTATAAACCTGCACGTAAATGGGTCCGAAGAGGTAACAAGGCACTGTAACGGCGTAACGTACTAAGTGACAATCACTCGTATTATCAGCTCGCTAGCAGCACATTCAAATAATGTATTTTGCCACATCTCGGAAAAATCACTGCAGATTTTAAAGTGTTCATGATCTTTTACTCGTTCAAAATAGACAGTGGAAAAGGTACAACGTCGCAAATTGAGGTATGGACGTTTTTTTATCTCACTTTTGGTGATGAGAAAATGTGTAACTGCGTAAGCGTCAGAGTGTAATAACAGTGGCAATCGTGATCTTTCGCCATCAAGTCGAGGCGATACTCTTGAAGGCGCTCTGAGCAACTATACCACCTCGGAAGTATTGCACAGTATCAGACGGAATTGAAGGCGCACTAACGTATGTAAATTCACTGGCATGCGTAGAGTCCTACAGATCTTACGATATGCGACTCCTGTTGGAAATGGAATAAAAAAAGAAATACATGAATAATTCAAAAAAACAAACAAAACAAACAGATTCATTTCATAACGGTTGAAGAGCGAGCCGATATCGAGGTATACGTTAGTTGAGAGTACATCGATTTGAAACTGAACTTAAAAAGGATAGATACCTCTATCGCAAAGTCGGATAATTTCGAAGGCACAAAGATAGTATTCTAGACCACATACGCCATCTTGGATTTTTAAACTATAAAATTTTGAATGAAAATTCAACCTCTAGGCGAAAAATATCCATTACCACCAAGTCTCACAAAAATGAACCAAATAGGTGCCGAGGTAGCATTTTAGATCACATCCACCATCTTGAATTTTTGAATAATGAAAATTTGAGTTGAAAGTCAGGTTTTCCGTCAACAAATGCCACCTGGCACCGAGTTTTAAAGAAATCGAGCGAACAGGAGTCACAGATCGTACGATAAACGCTACCAGTCAATTTTCCTACGTTAGTGCGCCTTCAATTTCGTATGATACTGTGCAATACTTCCGAGGTGATATAGTTGCTCAGAGCGCCTTCAAGAGTATCGACTTGACTTGACGGCAGAAGACCACGATTGCCGCCGATATTACACTCTAACGCGTGCGTATTACACATTTTCTCATCACCGACAGTGAAATAAAAAACATCCATACCTCAATTTGCGACGTTGCAACTTTTTCAATGCCTATTTTGAACCAGTAAATACTTTAAAATCTGCCACGATTTTTCCAAGATACAATGAATTATATTATTTGAATGTGCTGCTAGCGAACTGATAATAACAGTGCGATTGTTCAATTTGAATGTTTCATTTACGTCTATTGTCTAAATAGTCCAGGCGCCTGGTAAGTCTACCTGGAATTTTGGGTACACAGCGATTTTTTTTTGGCTTACTTTATGTTTTTTGGATCGCTGAATCCGAATCTGAAGTTTCCTACCGCGTATCTGGTGAGCCTTTTCCGCCATTTTAAAAAAATGGCCCAAAAAGGCCTTTTTTGCGGTTTTTTTTTATATAGCGGCTACGCATGAGAAAAAGTCCCGGATTTAGTTAATGCTTTGAATAGCTGACAAAATTTGGAAGAAAATGGTATATGAATACGCTAGGATTGCTCAAAAATTGAGGAACCTCGGATCTCGGAACTTTGGAACACTTCGGAACTTGGCTGACCGCGGCGAGCCGGATCGCGCGTTGACGGGTGCGCCGCGAAAACGTGAATGGGCGCGATGTTCCTCAATTTTTAAGCAAATGTAGCATATGTATACCATTTTTTTCCAAATTATGTCAGCTATTCAAAACATTAACTAAATCTGGGACTTCCTTTCATGCATAGCCACTACATAAAAAAAAACCCGCAAAAAAGGCCTTTTTAGGCCATTTTTTCAAATTAGCGGAAAATGCTCACCAGATAAGCGGTAGGAAACTTCAGATTCAGCGACCCAAAAAAAATAAAGTAAGCCAAAAAAAATCGCTGTGTACCCGCAATTCCAGGTAGCCTCATTTTTAGCTACCAGGCGCCTGGACTATTATTCCATGAGCTATTAAATACAGCGATTCCTTTCGAGTTCTACATTTTTTTTTTTTAAAAAAAATTTGGTATCGCAAATCTCTCCACTCGGCAATAAAATATATCTCGATCGGTCTGTTTCAATTTTGAGCTTATAAAGAGAAGTCAAACTGTGATTTCTTGAGGGATAACTAATTTTGGCAATGTGAATAAAGGGTGATATCCCCCCCCCCCCATATTTGCGAATTCAAGAATACTTGTTAAACATTTCTCTCAAAAATGTCCTGTAATCGGTGTTTGTAATAAGAAATAAAAGCGAAGCGGATATTTTGAAATAGTGCACTTGAGATGAGAGCCATGTACTCGCAGTTTCACCATCGATGTGAATGCATCCATTCCTATCTATGGGCGACAAACGGG